ATTGCACCGCTGATTTTACACAACGATAGCACCACATATTTTGCTCCACGCAGACGGCACAACATGTATTGCTCCAAACATTATGGTTGGAGTCCACGCTGGCTAAGATCGATCGATTCCCATTCGATTCGACATCGGATTCCGATTTTGGCTTCGCTGTCTCAATGGAGGCCTTACTAGCTTGCCGATTTCCGTCGATTCGACTGCTCCCGACTTGGCTGCCGATCTCCGCCGATTTGAGTAATTTCGATCGCCGATCGGACTTATCGATTCGATTCTGGGCTCCCCTGGAGCTTTTGCGGAGGGGTGGGATATCACCTGCGTCACCCCAACATACTGATACTATGTGTGCGTCGCCCCCCAGGGGCGACGCGCGCACCGAGAAATCTTATCGTATATGCGTCGTGGCGGGCGCTTTCTGGACACACCGCTCGGGAGACGATATACTCCAAGACGGGTATACTATATGTTCGGGTCGGACGCGCGCCTCCAAGGAGGACAAATAGTACTAGTGTGTCTTTGTGCGTCCTAGATCGTGGCGGGGGCCGTGGTATCTTCCAGATCTTCTGGCCCCACCTTCTTCCGTCAATGCGTCTCCTGGCCCCCCCTGGTTCGCGCAGTCGGGCAGTGATCTGCGAACCCCCTCCTTGGACGCCTCCTTCTTGGACGCCCCGTCTTTGCGTAACGTTGCAATGTCACACTGATGGGAACGATTGAGCCCATGGAGCCAATGCTTCGAATTCGGGATCCTGAAGCAATCGTGTACTACGACATCTGAGTTTCGGCGCTCCGGCGCCCCCGCCGAGCTCAGAGGGCCGCCCCCACCCCGGGCGAACATCGGCGCCTTGCCTTGCCTTGTCTTCCTGGGCGCCCCTGGTTCCAGGGCAGACGACGGGACCCAGACCCACGCGAGTTGTGGACGTTACGACGGGCGGCTTCTGATAGTTTCTGGGCCTCTGCCTGGCCGCGAGCCCCCGCGACCCTCGGAAGACATCCCGAGATGACACAACAATGCCTTGGTGAACGTTTCTCTTGTACGCTGTTTTGCCGATCGGCGCGGGCGCTCGCACCCCCTCTCCCCCCCACATGTGGCGTAGATCTTGGCCGTTGCTGGCGCCTGTTTCGAGAAGGTGGAGCCTCCCCCAAAGGACGCACTGCTGCAAATAGTCACACTAAGCAGAGGTCCAGAGCCAGACCCCCCCCCCTTCCGCCGAATGCCGAAACGCCGAACAAGAAAACGCTCACTTAGACAGGTTCAGGACCCCTGGGGCGGGGCATGTTGTGAAAGAGGCACGACGTCCGATCTCTTGGCTCGTGTCCAGGACGGTGACGACCTGACTATATCCGCGACGTTCTGATTGGGTCGGTCCCAGCGATGTCCTTCGATTTCATCCCCTGGGCCCCCAGCAAAGCGGATCCTGGACGCAGGAAGCTGGCCCTCGGGACAGGGCCACGATGTCCAGCGGCGACGGCGATCGGGGATCTGGGCACTTCGACGCTTCCAGGCCTTTTCTGGTCCCCTGGGGCACCCTCGCCGCCACGGCTGGACTGGCATCGAATCGATGGTCGAGCACACGCACCTCGGGAAAGGTCCGGGGCTGCGACTCCGAGAGGGCTTCCAACTCTGGGAAGGGCTCCCGGGCTTGCGGAGATTAATTGTGATTATTGGCGCGTCGCGTATCGCCACCAGCCCATCCCAAAGCAGACACCCAGCGAGTTGCCCTGATCAGGGGCGTGTAGCGTCCTGGTCGAGCGGTTGCCTGCCGTTGCCTGTGATGCCTGTACTGCGTCGTGCCTGTCTGGGGCCGCCTTGGTAGAAAGGTTGCCTTTCGTTGCTCGCCGTGCGTGCTTTGCTTGCGGCTCTCGAGCACCGGCGACGCCCACGCTGGCGATGGCCATCTAGCAAGCAAAGAGCGACGGCAGGCAACAATGAAATCAAGGCAGCCGCGGGCAGCGCACGACGACGACGACGACGACGATGACGATGACGACAGGAGTTCACAATCCAGGCCTTTGCACGTCTTGTGCTCGTGGAGTTTCTTGGAGGCTCCCTCTTGAGGCCATGTTTCCCTTTTGGATTCCTTGTGGGCCCTCTTGGACCCTCTTGGGGATCTCTTGGGGCTCTCTTGAGGCTCACGAGGGGCTCCCTCAGGGCTCTCTTGAAGGCCTCTTGGGGCCCTCCTGGGGCCCTCTTGGAAGCCGTCGGGCAAGAAGGGGGCATACTCAAGTAAGGCACTCCCCGCTAGGGCCCGACAAATCGCCTCTGGGGGCCCTTCTTGGGCCGCTCTTGCGGCGCTCTCGGGGCGCTCGGGCCGCCTTGGGGCCATCCTGGGCCCCCCCTTGGAGCCCTCATGGCCCATCGTGGAGCCATTTTGAGGCCTCCAGGGCCTATCGCAACAGAAAAGGCGAGAAGGCAACACAGGGAGCGACAGTTTGTTTTTGGAGATTGTTGGCCTCCTGGGGATGCTCGTAGGGCACTTGGGGCCGTCCTGGGGCGATCCTGAGGGGTGGTGCAGGCATGTTGGAGGTTATCTTAGGCCATCTTGGGATGTCTTGCGCGATCTTGGAAGCCATCGGGACATCTTGGGCTCTCTGGAGCCCTTCTGGAGCCACCTGGTGCCGGGAAGGACCCTCTGACACCTCGCGGGTCGGGGCTGCCAGTCCCAGGGGTGCGGGGTGGGGGAAGGGACAACTTTCTCCCAGAAGGGGAAGAAGGGCATTAGCAGAATGAGCTCCTTACCCAGACAAGTTCGCGTCGCAACAAATTTAGGGCGAAGGCGTTTATGATTGTTAGGCCTTTGGAGGCCCTCACAGGGCCCCAGGACCAACAAACAACGACTCGAGATGAAAAACCGGCCCTGGGGAAAGGGTCGGGACTTCTGCGGGGCCCCTATAGAAAGATTTGGACATCGCATGTCTGGGTAGACCACTCACGCCGAGAGGGCTGGTGGGATGTTCAGCGCCTGGAGACAGATCCCCAGGCCCTGGGACCATCCTGAAGCGATCAGGGATGAACAACTCGTCCCCGCTAAGGGATTGAGACTTATGAGAAGTTGCGGACTGCCAGCTGCCCGCTGGAGGCTACAGGGGTCCCTGACATCCGACGTAGCGTGTTTGTTCGCAGCGTGGACCCCGGGAGGTCTGGACCACTTCCTGAGGGCAAGGTCTTCATCTCGAAAGATCTGTTCACGGCTCCTGGGCGAAGGGAGGGACCCCGGAGGCAAAACATCGGGGAGCGTCATCTCACCGCGATTTCTGCACAGCGTGGATGTCTAGGGAGGTACCCCTGGCTGACCTCAAAACCCTTGGGATGAAGAAGTGCGGCCCCGACGGGGCGGCGAAGACGACGACGGACGACGCCGACGACGGCCGACGACGACGACGAGAGTGACGGAAGGAATTCTTCTGCTGCGGCATGCCGGGGAACATGTTTGTTAGTCCCCCGGAACCCCGAAATTTCCCCCCCCCCCCCAGGGCGTGATCATCGGGGGCATAGGGTTGTGGAGGACGATGAGTGGAGAGGAAGCGTGTTGCCACACAGTTCCCAGGTGTCTAGAAGATGTCTTGAACATGTGCTAGGCATGTTTTAGAGCATGTTCAGAACCTGTTTCCGACATCTCAAACACATGCTCAGTTCAATGACAGGACGGTTACTCCAGATTTCGTAATAAAGGGAGGGGGGTCTCATTTCGGGGGGGGTCTCCTCCAGGCCATCTTGGAGGGCCTGGGGGGTCCGGGGACGATGTTCTGGAGGGTTCCCCCACGGGGGAGGTCTGAGATGGCTCGTCTTGGAGGGCCCAGACCCCCTCCCTTTTATTACGAAATCTGGAGTAGGCCGTCCCTTGCCGTGGCCTCCCCAAGCACAATGGAGGATGACGATTAATAAATGACCGGGGGTCGTGTTCACGCGGCGGCGCCCGGGATGACGATTAGAAAAAACCGGCCGCGGGCTGGAACACTATTCTTTTTCATCGTCCTCCTCCAGTCAGAGACTTGTGCAGAGATAGCAGGAAGCTATTTTTGTTGATCGTTCCCCCGTTTTGTTTGCTGTTAGTATTCCTCCCGCATTAAGGGACAGGCCTCTGCAGGGCTCAGTCGCCCCAGCGGGCCTCCGCGCCCCCCCTGCCGCCGCCCGGCGGCGCCCTCCCCGCGTGCGCTCCGGGGCCCGGGCGCGTGGCTTTGCTCTCCGGGCTTCCCGGCTGCCCCCGCCTGGCCGGAGAGCCGGCGCGCGGCCGATGCGTCGGCGCTGCTCACCACCTTCCTCTCCCTCCTCCTCCTCCTCCTCCTCCTCCTCCTCCTCCCTCCTCCTCCCTCCTCCTCCTCCTCCTCCTCCTCCTCCTCCTCCTCCCCTCCTCCTCCTCCTCCTCCTCCTCCTCCTCCTCCTCCCTCCTCCTCCTCCTCCTCTCCTCCTCGTCCTCCTCCTCCTCCTCCTCCTCCTCCTCCTCCTCCCTCCTCCTCTCCCTTCTCCTCTTCCTCCTCCTCCTCCTCCTCCTTTTTCTCCTCGTCCTCCTCCTCCTCCTCCTCATCGTCCTCGTCCTCCTCCTCCTCCTCCTCCTCCTCCTCAGATTTACCCTCGATTCTAGTGTGGGGGGGGGGTCGGGAACATCGAAAGAACGCATCTGGAGCCCCTACCCCCCCCCAACCCGAAATTCGGGTCTTCGGGTTGGGTTGGGGTGGTCTGGTAGGTAGTCAGATGCTGCTCGAGGTGGGGCCCGATGTTCGCTTCAGGCCAGTGGCGCCGACGCATCGCCGACGTCGCCGAGATGGATTGGCGACGTCGCCGAGGTGCGGAGACCCGAGGTTCTCGCAGCCGACGGCGCCGGTGCACCGCCCACATCACCGACGCATCGCCGATGCATCCGCAGTGCATGGGCGATGCGGCGCGGCCCTCCGACCCTGCCTGCTCGGACCGCATGTGGGAGGCGTCCAGTGGTTGAGGCAGTCCAGGGCGGGGGGGGGGATTTCAGCATGTGCGCCACCCTAAGCATTGCCGCGCGGAGGTGATCGATGTGGTGGACGTCGGTTCCTCGGTGAGTCTGGCTGGCCTCTACGAGCCCATCATGCTGGGCATCGTGTTCGGCACCACCTTCACCACGCTCCTGGGCCTCCTGGTGGCATCCCTGACCTTCTCATCATCGTCCTCCTCCCCCTCGCATCCGGGCGTCGTATGGATGTTATCAAAGACGCCTACGGCGAATCGCCACCGCCCCCTGCCAATGTTTGGCCAGGCTATTAGACCATGAGTTCCCCCAGCCTTCGTGAAACCCCTTTTCGGTCACACTCGGGAGAGAAAGAGACAGAAGGACGAGGAGAGGGAGGAGAAGGAGAACGAGGACGAGGACGAGGGAACAGGAGGCCTCTTCAGGCTGTATTGGGGCTTCTCGGAGGCTCCCTTGTAGCCTATTCGGGGCCTCTCAGAGGCTTTTTGGGAGCCTCTCCGGGCCTCGTGGGAGCCTCTTGGGAACCTCTACTAAGGGACCTCTTTGCCTTCGGATGCCGTCTTGGGGGCCCCTCTGGGCACTCGTGGGTCTCTCTTTGGGCGCTTTTTGGCCGTCTTGGAGGTCTGTGTGGCCGTCTGAACTGTTTCGGGACCCTCTTGGGCCGTCTTGCGGGACTCTTCCAGGCCTCATGGGCCGTTGTGGTCCGATGCTGGTGGTCTATGGGGCCGTCTTGGAGCGTCGGAAACCCGAAATGGCCGGAAAGGTACAAGCATTAACAAACGCATGCAACATACATGAATTTGGACTCCTGGACCCTCTGGGAGCCCTCTTTGGACGCCCCCGGGCCTTGGGCCGTCTGGAGGGTGTCTTGGGGGCAGTTTGCGTACCGTTTTTTGGCTGTCTTGGAGCGGTCTATGGACCGTCTTGGAGGCCATCTTGTCTCGAAGCCGCCATCTCCATGCTCGGAAACTGGAACGTATACATCACCAGTGGCGGGCTGTTTTTCAATCCCGGGATTTTTGAGGGTCGGGGACGACGTCGGGGTGGTGTGGTGTATATTTGTTTCCCCGGTTTCCCGTGGACGCCAGAATCCGTTTTCTTGTTCGGATCTCAGTGCAGGACCAGAAAAAAACATCGGTGTATAAAGTTCGGTTCCTTACCTGCTGTGAGGGACCCTCTGGCGAAACGCTTGTTCTGGGCGGCGGCGCCACATCTTGCCGCAGGGCCGGCGGGCCAGCCCGGAGGCCACCGGGAAGGTTTAAGCAAGGTTGCATCAGGAGGGGGAGAGACACACGGATTCTGTGAAGTGTCGACGCCCAGCAAAAGGTTGGAAAATACGTGAAGTGGGGGGGAAGAGGAGCACCCAGAAAGTACAAGAATAGATTTGGCAATCCTGGGAGCCTTTGGGAGGGCATCTCGGGGGGGCATCTCGGGGGCATCTCGGGCATGGGGAGCCTTTGGGGCTATGGGGGGCCTTAAGGGGGCCTCTTGGGGACCTGCTCGCGGTCTCGGGGGTACGTTTTGGGCGGAGGGCTCGAACTGTCATTTCGCCCCCCCCCCCCCCCTCTTGTGGCCCTTCTTGGATGGGCCTTCCTGGCCTGTCTGGGAGGCCTCTTGAGCTCTCTCTTGTGCCGTCTCGCGCCCCCTCTTAGGGGCCTCATGGGGCGTTCTTGGCGGCCTCTTCCACAGTTTTGAAGCGCATGAAGCCTGAACAGGCGAGACCGCCGGAATCTTCGAAACAATGTGAGGATTGAGGACTCATCAGGGGCAGGAGGCACTCCTCTCAGTGCCCACGGTACGGTAGCGAAATGAGTACATAGATGCAAATCCAGATGTACGCACGCACGCATAATCACATTATACATGTCGCCTTTACATATTTACACGTCAAAGTAGCTGCACACATGTGTAATGTAAACATAATGCAGATATACGTGTGTATAAATATCTATACTTATATGAATAAATAGACACACGTCGCACCTGCGTGCCCGGGCTCTGATAAAACAAATACACCACGTAGGCATCGCAGAAGAGGGACAATCTGCGGAATATGAAATCGGATCCGAGAACGGGGAGGAGGAGGAGGAGGAGGAGGAGGAGTCGGAGGAGGAGGAGGAGGAAGGGGATGCAAACGCATATGGGAAAGCACATATGGAAGATAAGGGGGATCTTCAGGGGTCGGCTGCGAAGGAGGAACCATACTGGGATCGCAGTCGAACGCAGGTGAGGTTGCCACACCTTGCGATGTGTGTGTGTGTGTGTGTGTGTGGCAGAGGAGGGGGTTCCACACCCAGCGATTGCAGCTGACAGGGAGCTCCAAAGCCAGTTGCTGGAAGAGGTTTGTTTCCACCAAAACAGTAGATGTATTACGTCTACGTTTTTTGATGTAAAAGGGATGTCCCACGCGAAATTTGATGCTTTCCAAGAACGACGTCCAACAGAAAAAAAAAAAAAATGCGTGGTCGGAAGTTGTATGTTAAAAGGTAGAAGAATCGATTGTGCTGTTGGACTCTGGCGTTACGATCTGCGGGAGGGGTGCGTCAGAGTTTCTGAATGGTGTGGATGTCCCGAGCTCAACGGCCAGAGCACAAACGTCACGGGTTGGGATCTGATAGTGTTTGTGCCTAGGGTGTCTTTATTCTTTTCAGTGGATCTGGGCCTGCCCATCGGTCTGGCGGCTACGTGGTCGCCGTCGCCGCCTCGTCGCCGCCCGTTATCTTGTCCTGGCCGTGGGTCTTACGGCTATGTGGTCACCGTCGCCGCCCGGTCGCCGTTTGGCCTGCGTTTCGTTTCTATGTTTGTCCTGAGTTACGCCGCACTGTGTTCCATTGAATTACACCGTTCGCATTGCGTTGCATTTGTTCGGCTTGCATTACAGTGTATCGCGTTGCGTTGAGTTGCGTTGCTTGGTCTTGCTGTACAGTGCTATTCGTTTCTTCGGATTGCTTCGCATTGCTCTGCGTTGCTTGGCACTGCTTTGCCTTGCATTGCTGTGCTGTGTTTTCGTTTGGTCTGCGCTGCAGTGCATTTCTTTGCGTTGCTGCGCAGCCCGTCGCCCCAGCGATTGCACCACGTAGATTGCCCCTATGCAGACTCTCCTTTTCTAAAAGAGCATTGGGATCGACTCCCCGCCCGGACTTCACGGCCGCCCTTCGTTTTACAATGTGCACGCGATTCTGCCCAACCGTCCATCCTAAATTTGAGATCGTACCATCCCAGCTAAAACAGCATCCCCCCTCATCGTTGGAAAAAATGTCACGCGTGCGCGCTCCATTATCACGAATCATCAGCTTGCAAGGGGCCAATGCAACAACAACACAAAAGAACAAACAACACAAAACAAAACAAACGAACTGCACACGCGCGCGCCGTCGCGCCCTCATGCCGAAATGCATAAAACAAACCAAGGTCCTGAAACGAGTTCTGGATATAGTGTCCGCAAAAAACATATACAACACATTGTTGTCCAAAACAGATTTTCACAAAACAAAACAAAAAAATGCGCCCGCGCTCGGGTGAATGCTCAAGGGAGACCATGGTTTGCTAAGACGTGTCATGACAAGCTACCAAACGTGCCTCTCGCGCACGCAAGTCGAAATCTTTCGAACGCCATTGCGCGCGCACTTTCGCAATAATCCCTTGCATACAGTGGGAGGCAGTGCGAACGCGTGCGTCGTCGCGCGTGCATGCGGGAACCTTACAACAACAAAAACAATCTCAGGTTTCGAAATGGATTGCAACATCGTGCGCCCCGAACACATATTCAAAAACGAATGGCTTTGCAACATCCATTTTCTGAAAGGCTTGCGCTCGCGCTCCTGCGAACTAGGCTTCTCGCCCCGCATGTTGAAAACATTCGAACGCCTTCACGCGCATGCTGGGGGGGGGGGGGCAAGATCCGCGTCAATTAACACAGCGCTTTTCACTCTCGCGCGTCGGCCGCGCGCGGATGTCGAACTCCTTCCAGGGCCTCCATCACCGACGCGAGAACGCCGTCATCGTCGCCGGCGCGATCAGCATTGGCGCCGTCGCTGGCCTTGCCATCGTCGGTGTCATCATCATTACCAGCATCGCTACTATCATCATCGCGTTCACCGTCATCGACGTTGCCATGATAGCGCGCCCGCCCAAGTTGCCGACTCGCATTTAAGTGCCCGCTGGGAAGTGCCCGGCGGTCAGCTTCGCCGCAGCCGCGTCGGTCGCGCCAGACTAACTGGCCGCCTTGCGCGCGAGCGCACGCGTTTGCGCGGCCGCGGCGACGCGCCAACCGTCGCCAAGCAGCCATCGTAAGCGTCGCCGCGTGGGTTCTGCAGACCAAGTTGCGGTCCAAGGAGGCTCCCCGAGGTCCCTGGAGGCCGTAGAAGATCCCAACTGTCCAAGAGCCTCGATGTCCGATGGTCGCCAGCACCGTCGCCACGGCGCTCGACCGCACCGCATGCCCAGCGGCCCGCGAACAGGAGCGCACCAAGTCTGCAACGAACTCGAGAGGGGGGAAGAGGAGGATCTCAAGGAGGAGGAGGAGGAGGAGCAGGCGGAGGAGGAGCAGGAGGAGGAGCAGGAGGAGGAGGCATCTTCCTCCGTTTTCTTTGGCGCAGCGATGCGGGGGGAGGGGAGTCACACCCAATTCTCTGTCATCATCCCTTTCGTCCCCATCCTCCCCGAGGAGGAGCATCGAGGACCGGAAGGATCACGGTGCTGCCCCTCCCTCTTCTCGGAGGTTGATAGACCTCCTACCCTGACACGTCGATTAGCGACTTTGCCGCTTGCGGTTCGCCAGAGGGCGTCGTGGCTGTCATTTTTGCGGGTCGAGGTCCGTCGGTTTCGGTCTTCTCGGCATCGCTCGGACGTGTGTTTTTTTCTTTCGGCGAGGACCATCGAGGAGCATCCTTGATCATTTGGCGAAAAAACCACGCACGAAACCGAAAACAACACACGGAATGGACGTCCGAGCGATGGCGTGTTTTGGGCCGCCTTCACTGAAGGGAGGCTCACCGAAGGGAGGTCTGTCCGCCTCCGCTCTTCGCCCAGGTGGCCGCCTGGCTGCAGTTCAAGAAGGGCCCCACCCTCGGGCTCTGAGCGGCGCCCGGGCGCTCCTCGGCGGTGTTTTTTCTTGCTCTCGGCGGGCCACCTCTGCGAGAGATGCGTGTGGTAAGAAATCGTGCTGCAAGTCCAGGGGCATAATTTCTTGTCATCGGAATGCGGCCTCGTGAGGGGCCCCAAGGGTCCCCAGAGCCGCCGGGCCTGCAGGGCACGCGAGAAAGTGTGCCCTGCTCCCGCGTGGCTCCTGGGAGGCTTCGGCGGGCCACTCCTCGGGGTGGCGCTTTGGGAAGCTCCACGTCCTCCCCAGACTGCGTTGCATCTTCGGGGCACCTCGCCTGTCTCCCGAATTGGTGTCTGTTCCTGGGCCCCACGCGGGCTCGATGCGGACTCGACGCGGACTTGGCGAGGATCCGGCGCGGATTCGACACGGATTCGACACGGATCCGACGAGGCCGACATGCATTCGGCACGGATTCGGCTCGGATAGGGCCGCGACGGGACAGACAAGGTCCCCCGAGGATGCAACATGTATTAAATCCCAGACATTTGGCGGATAAGTTGCTTCAATCTCTGCGTTTTGTCCTCTAGTCTCTTGCCTTTGGTGGGCGTTTTCGGGACCCTGGGCCCGTCGCGAACGGCTCCAGGGCGGAAAGGTCAGACTTCCCTGCTTCAAGGGGTCGGAACATGGGGGGCCCGCGGATGGAATAATCACACAGTCGGAGGTCTGGGTCATCCTTCTCCTCCTCCATCCTCGCCCCGCCTCATCCATTCCCTCTTCCCTGGAAAGAAGTAGCTCCTCCTCGCCCCCACAGCCACGACGCGCCGGCAGGCTGGGCTTGGCGTTTCGCCTCAGGTCCCTTTACCATTTAGATGCTTCGAGCTTGCGACTTTGAACAGGTCCACGGATTGATGGCGGGCAGTTTCAGCATGTTGGTCTCGCTGCAGCGCCACGCGCATTCGGCTCGGCAAGTCATTTTGACAGCTGCACTGATGGAGGGAGACTGGGCTCCAGAAAGTGGCTCGCCAGCTGGTGCTTCCAACATTCTCCTCAAGAGGGTGATGCTCCTGCAGTCAAGACGCTGAAGTATCGACCGTTCTGGGGCCCAGGAAGGGCTCGAGCCTGCGGCCCGTTCCTCAGTTCGAGGTCAGGGAACCCATTCTTCGGTGGCAAATCATGGGAGCTTGGTATACCCTCTTAACAATGTCATTAGGGTCGACTAGCGTCGATTAGCGTCTACAGTGGGGGCGCGCATCAATAAACCATACGCTTTTCGTCAGAGGATCCTGGGTTTCTCCACTCCGCGCGCTGCGCGGCGACTTCTCGCAGCCGCTGAAGAAGCTGCTTTCCCTCAGGTGCACCTCGCGCGCGGGTTTTCAGGTTTTCGATTTGCGAGGGGTTCTTGCGGCCGCGCCCGCACTGTAGGAGTCAATGAGATAGCGCCGACCCAGTGAGCGTCACTTAGCGTCGATTGGCGTCGACTTAGCGTCGATTTAGCGTCGATGAGCACCGATTCGCAAGAGCCGACAAGATGGCCGGGGAGGCTCTCGTGAGTTGCCACCGAGCTGTTTCGTGGCCGAGGCTCGCAGTGGTCAGGAAAGCCCCCTCGTATGGCATCGCGCCGGCTGTCTCGGGTGCGTCCGGACGACCCCCTGCCAGGCGCCCCGGGAGCCCGCCCCCCTTCATAAAAGCAAGGGCGCCCCGTGCAGTCATGCGCCCAGCCATGACGCGCGCCTTCATCCAGGGTGCCCTAGTGTCCCTGCCTCTGTGGCCCGTCCTTTGCAGTTTCCACTGGTCGCCCAACCAAGAACCCCACTTCGGCCTCCGAGGGTCTTGCGCCCTTGCCACCCGTCCTCAACACACGTTTTGACGGTAACCTCGGACCCCGACTTTGACAAGTCTTCCCCAGTGATCAGCACAGGGCCCCAGGGGACCTCACGAAGATGGCACCCCTGTGGGCCGCGAGGCCCTCCCCCTTCCTCGGGAGGTCCCCCTCCCCCCTCCTCGCAGTGACAGGGGCAGTGACAGAAGGAGGAGGAGGAGGAGGAGGAGGAGGAGGAGGAGGAGGTGGAGGAGGAGGAGGAGGAGGAGGAGGAGGAGGGCCTTCTCCCCGAGGCCGCCCGCCGCCTCGGGAGGGCCCCCCTCACGACAACCCCCCGCCGTGCGCGCAGCGTACGCGACGCGGCCGACGAGGACGGCCGCCACCCGCGCCGCGCGAAGCACCGCCCCCCTTTGAGGCCGCACGTCGGAGCCCATCGCGCGCCGGAGCCCGCGCGAGGCCGCGCCAGCGCGGCTGAGCCTGGAGAGAGTGGAGGACGGCCCGGGCCGATGCGCGCAGGAGAAGGAGGAGGAGGAGGAGGAGGAGGAGGAGGAGGAGGAGGAGGAGGAGGA